CATGACTTAGAATGGTTTCCCACGATTTCAAGTACCAAGGACTTGCAAGGAAAAGAATGGCTTGATGCAGTGAAAACGTGACACCATCTACCTGTGGAGAAGTCCAAGTACCTGACTAAGTGCAGCACCAGTTCCAATGTGACACTGGGGAACAGCTGTGCAACATGCCTATCTATCACACTTCCCCATCAATCCAGCTGCAGGGAAGATGCTTATCCAGACAGCTAGTGGAAATTTGTATTAAAAATCTGGTAAAGGTTCCACTGCTGTGCTTTGACTCTTCTCCCCATCTTCCAGAGTGCTTTAGTATGCATTCTTAGCATTTTCTCCCCAAGTGGTTCTCCCTTCTCAGCATTTTTCAAAATGTTGAGAAAACACAATACTTACTAAGAGTCTCTAAATACCACTGTTCTCTAAATCTCATCCACTCTGTCTCCACTTCACGGGATTATGTCCACAGACTTGCATTAACTTTCAAACAGTGGTCATAAATGCTGAAAACCATTTTAGGTTCAGATAGGATGTAGAATGGGGATCCGAATCCCCATTCAACCCCCAGATGGACTTTCAGACTTTTCAGTAAAAGCAATAGCCAAAAAAGCTGACCACATTTACTTCAGGTTAATAATTTATTACACTTTCATGTAAAATGAAATAAGAACATCAAGGTGGAAAGATCCCCTCTTAAAGCAGCTATCCATTTCAGGTTTCCAAAACATATTAGTTATTAATATTGACATATCTATTACAAATTTGGTGAAAAACAATCCTAAACTTCTCATTACCTTAGCAATGCAGAGGCCAGACATTCCAATAAGTGATTAAACTTTTGCTTTGACAGCTTAGCATATTTTGATAACCTGGAATATGTGCAAGGAAGTTGCTAAAAATCTCAGGATTTCAGACTTTTTCCTTACATTGGTAGAGTGGAGCAGTCATTGCCCATCTCTGCGGAATTTTAGAAGTATGCATACAGATCTGTGTCTCATTGTTTGCCTTGTCTCACAGTAGAATCAAACTATTTAGAAATAGCACGTGACAGACACGTGTGATGTCACCCACGACAATTTCCCATCTGAACCATCCATTTTCATGACTCAACTTCTGCTTACACCTGATGTCATGTTTTCCAAGCCACCAAACACCAAAACTTTTCAACATAACAAACAATTGACAGTAAAAATTTAAAATGCTGAAGCTCAACATGTCTTAGTGAGCCAGATGCACTTCAAAGCTCTGTTCAGATATATTAATACCTGTTAAGGGTTGTCACAATCCTGCATAGTGCAACTGAAATTTAATGTATTGCAAATTTTATCAGAGTTGATTTTTTAAATCAATTTGGATTTTGACATGCATATATTGTTGAGATAAGTCTAAGACTGTAATATACAATTAATGTAACATGCTTATAGCTATGTCTGGAATAATCACACAGTGCAAGTGAAGCTGCAGATGGAGTGCAGCTATTTTCAGCCACTGCAAAATATGGACAATCTCTCCTGCTACTACAATTTCACGCACAGTTAGCTTCACCTCCATTTCATCCTTCTACGTTTTACACACCAGCAGTACTCTGCATCTGACAGACTGAGGCTTAAAACTTGCAGCTGTCTAAAGCAATAGTGGTTAAGCTAGCTTCTGAATTAGTGTGAAACCAGACACAAAAATCTCTAGAAGAGAAGAAAATAACCAAAACAGTTTTTTCATTTTACCCACAGTAAAATTATGAAGTAATTTAAATATTTCACTGGACAGGTGTCAGCAGAAGTTTGGAGCAAGCCAAATTCTGGGTAACAAGAGTACCTCACAGCTATTTTCCACAATGTCGATTCACAAACTACTGGACCAACAAAAAGACCAGGATTAATAAACATCTTTCAAGGCTATGAAACAGTTCAAATCTGTAAACATCTCATTTGAGGTAGCACTGATACTATGCAGCACAAAGTATTTTTAGGACTGACCATATTTCACAGATCATTTGTGAAAAGTAGCAATGATACATAAAAATTGCCAGCTAGATGTGCTAGCCCCTTTAATTTCAAATTCTCATTTAGAGCTCAGGCACAAGTCATGCAAAAAACTAACTCTTGCTTTCCCTATTTCTAATTTGTGCCACATACTTGCAAAGGAATTAACTAAAATCCTTAAGCCTGTCCTGGAATTCTAATAGTTGACAAGTCTGTTTGTAGCACAGAGTGCCAACATGCTGTGCCACATCATGGGAACAAACGCCTGCTCTCATGTACTGGAATCATGGCTCAGAAACAAGAGGTTCATGTACTTTGAGGATGTCCAAACATGTGATCACAGCATGAGCAACACCCAGAGCACCACTGCTCCGGAACTCAGCAGCACGCCAGGCTGCTCATCAGCAAGTCAAACATCTTAGCTGAGATGCAGGTTTTCAGAGCAAGATAAAAAATTTTACAAGCAAGAGGATAGGGAAAAAACCTTTTAAGACTTTCAACATCCATTCACTCTCTACTATCACATTTTCCTTAGAAAGAAGATTTCTATGGCAACCTGAAAAAAATAGGGAAAGGGAAAAACTATCGTAAGGGGCAGCATTCAGTTTTTCTGTTCTGCATGCTTATCACGAAAATTCGTGTTTAGCAAGAAGCTACTATAAATTATCTTGTTAATTTTTATGTAACAGTAAAACCTTAAGCTCTATTACAGACACCTGTTACAACCAGCACTATGTTAAAACACAAGTCAATCCAAAATGTGATGATTCTGAATACAATCTGTTCAGATAATACTAACAGCCATTTCTCCCAACACTAATTTTCCACTGGCTAGTCTTCAAGAGAAGTTATTCAGTGCAAGTTCAAAAAAAAAATTTTAATCCACAAAACAATCACCAAATCTGCAATACACATTTCTAAGCAGTGGTAACATTGTAAAAAAATTCCATTTTCTGAAACTGCATTCAATATTACAAACAATGCCATAACCAACCACATAAGCATAATGTTAGAACAATCCCATAGTTCTATTCCTGCACACAAAACTGAAAGCCTCCATGCAAACCCAGATATGAAATGCATGAAAATGCTACCATAATCTCTCCTATAATTCAGGCTGATACTTACAATATGAGCTCCAAATCTCAAATATAATTTGTATCACATTTCTTCAGAAAAGTCACAGAAGTAAGAAAAGATAAAATAACAATCAAAATGCACATTGTTCACAATTACTACAAAGCCCAAGGAGAAAACAAAACTGGGTAAACCAAAACAAATTGATTAAAGAACCAACAATTTATACAATCTCTTGCTTCCTGTGACTATACTAGAAAATCTGGTTCACTATGAAGGGATTTGTCAAACAACCTTGAGGCTCTGACCAGCTCTGTGCTATTTATTTTACTACATTCATCATGACTAAAATAAAAAGTTTCCAGATTAAAAATACTTACAAGGTGAAGTTCTGACCATAAAATGGCACTTACTTAGCCTTACATAGAAAGTGTGATTATCCACACAATGAAATCCAAGTCTGATTCAGGAAATACAGAAGAATATCTATTGACTTAAACTCTGATCTTTGACCCAACTTTACTGAGATGTTTACAATACAAAGTTACATCCTTGAGTAAGTTATTGATAAATAGGTAAGACAGATTTTTTTCTCACAAGTCACACTGACAGAAATGCAACATCACTCCTCTCACTTATTTTCCAAACAAATGACCACAGGCATTATCCTGCTCTGCAAATTCTTGTGCTACATCTTAGGCACAGAGGCAAAGGTGTAAGAATATTACCTGATCAAATAAAAGTATCTGCTCACAAGAGGACAGGAAGGCTTGCTGCTACCACAACTGTTACATGTTGTGGTATATAACCACAAACACAGAGACCATTCCCTATTTTGCCTTTCTCTATTAGTATATTTTGTTAGATTTTATTCTGAAACTCCAGTTTTTGTGTACATATATCTCTACATATGTATATACATACACATATATATATTTGTGTATATATATATAAGAACTGGACCATTCTCCAGAGACAAATTTTCCTTCAGAAGGTTCATATAACTTGCAAAGGAAAAGTCGTAGATATCAAGTCCCACAAGGATTGTATCAAAATGTTACTTAGTCAATATATGAAATAGTACAACTTACAATTTAAAGTCTCTCAATATTAAGAAACTACTAATTATTAATCCCTGCAAATCTCATACACTTACTATACTGCACCCAACACTGCAATCAGTGATTTTATTAAAGGCAGACTTCTTGGGTTTTTAGATATTATGCTGAATTTAATTGATGGGAGAAACCTCCTACATTTTCTCATTAATTCCATGTTGTCAGTTATTTCACTATCTCCTAGCCATTAAAAATAATTTCAGCATCTCTTCTCCTTGAAATCTCAACTTCCCTGATAATTGATTGGTCTTCAATGTATTCTAGAGAACTCTTAAATTAATACATATTGGAAAACATGTATTCTTTTCAAGAACTCTAAAAATCCTTCCTTGCTGACATACATTAAGGAACACAGATACATATCTATTGCAGGTAAAGGAAAGGTTTTGCCTTAGCTTAACTGATTGAAGCACACCATGGGCTCTGAGCAAGATCATTCCCAACATATCTAGCTGTGGGAACATAGCTGTTCCCACCTCTGTAGAATGGAGTTGAGCAGTTCTGCTTCTGCCAGGTTGGTGCCACTGAGGAGTTGACCCAACAGCTGCTCCAGCCAGTTGCTCAGGACTGAACTAAACTGTCCTGGCCATTACCTTACAGGTCAATGACCAAGCAAGAGCTGTGATCAACAACTCCCCTGTTCATACAGGAACATTATTTTAGAACAGTATGTCAACTCTGCAAATCTACACCCTATGTATATTGGGCTATGTATAAATGTTGCATTTTCCTCTTGAAATTATAATCCAGATTCTCATATATTTTCAAACTGAAAAGTGTAATAAACATAACATGTTAAATTATTCCACAAAGCATTTGGTTCAAAACTCACCTTTCTGGTTTCCAGCTGAGCTTCTTCTTGGCAGCACTCCCTGCAGAAGGGATCCAGCTGGTTCAGATTGAACTGTCCGAGAAGGTTGCAAGAACTGCACAGCAAGTTACTGGAGAAGCCCAGCTCCCTGCAAGTTTCTGATGGCAACTGTGCTCCATACACACTTATCTGAAAGTCAATACAATGTTATACATTAGTATTAGGCGGGGTTTTTTGTGGGTTTATTTTAATTTTTTTCAAATAAGACTTTCAATGCTTTAATGATTCGAAAGAACAAGTCTCCAGTTTTACAGCATTGCCTAATGCTCAGCCCGTAAGTTCAAAGCAACACCTTATTTTGAAGGATGGTACTAAGCCAACAGTGAATTCCAGGCACTCATAATATGTACATTTCAAGGTATCAGATCTGCCAATATTAATTTATATACACTTCTGACAACTCTACTGTTTTCCTGCTGCTAGCTCCAAGTTAAGAAAACACCCCAAATGTAATGAATCAGCTGAAATGCACATGGCTGTAGTTTCCCAAAGCTGCTCTTTCAACACAATTTCAGTAAATGTTATAGCACTGAGAAAGTAAGTACTTCCCAGCACTGCTGGAAAGTAAGTATGACAGCTGAGCTCGGGAAAAGCACAACCAGAGAAAGGTGAAATGAATCAAAGCACCCAACAAGGCATACAGGCAGGATTTTCACTTCATGTTTGCATTAATGTCACAGGAAATAATTTATTAAAAGTGGAAATGTAGACAAAAATCTGCAATTCTGATTTATCAGTAATTCATTAAAACAGACAATTCAATTACGTGGCTTCCATAGAAAACACCAGTTCTGTTTTTAATGAGAAGCAAAAATGATGTTACCAACCATCACAACACTTCAATGATATTTGGGGTTTGTTTTCATAGAATTGTTAAGGTTGGAAAGGCCTCTAAGATCGTTGAGTCCAACCACGAGCCAAGCACCACTGTGTTCACCACTAAACCACATCCCAAGTGCCACATCCACATGCCTTTTGAACACTTCCAGGGATGGTGATTCCACCAATTCTCTGGGCAGCCCATTCCAATGCCTGACCACCCCACCCTTGAAGAAATTATTCCTAATATTTAATCTAAAACCCCCCTGGTGCAACTTGAGACTGTTTCCTCTAGTCCTGCCACCTGTTACCTGGGTGAAGAGACTGACCCCCACCTCACTACAGCCTCCTTTCAGGTAGTAGTAGAGAGCTCTAAGTTCCCTCCAGGGCCTCCTTTTCTTCAGGCTAAACACCCCCAGCTCCCTCAGCTGTTCCTCATAAGACGTGCTCCAGACCCTTCACCCCCCTGGTGCAACTTGAGACTGTTTCCTCTAGTCCTGCCACCTGTTACCTGGGTGAAGAGACTGACCCCCACCTCACTACAGCCTCCTTTCAGGTAGTAGTAGAGAGCTCTAAGTTCCCTCCAGGGCCTCCTTTTCTTCAGGCTAAACACCCCCAGCTCCCTCAGCTGTTCCTCATAAGACGTGCTCCAGACCCTTCACCAGCCTCATTGTTCTTCTCTGGATATGCTCTAGCACCTCAATGTCTGACTTGTAGCAAATCCACATTCCCACTTTCCTACACAGGCATTTCTCACACCATAGCTTAAAGCCTTCCCTTCCAGTGCTTTGGAGGGAGAAAGGAGGTAGTTTTCCCAGATGCTGCTCAGTCTGGGTTAAAGACTTTCGGCAGAACACCCGAAGCACCAACAAAACAATTAGCAAAGCACCACTATGTTCAGAGAAGAGTGAGAAGACACCAGCAAACTGGACTGGAGGATAACAGACCAAGAGTCAGAAAAAAACCATTTCCTCCCCTGAGCCGGCTAACCTGTAGTTAAAGGAAAAACACATCACTGATGTGCCAGATAGAAAATGTTACGGATTAGGAATTGGTGGAAAATACATTAGGGGCCTCAGTGTTCTGCTTCTCTGTGTCTGCTTAAAAAAAAAAAAGAAGCATGAACAGAAAAGTATAACACACAAAAAACTACTTTGAAATCACCATTCTGTCAGGCAGAAGACTATTCTGCCCACAGGACACCATAAGAGGCACTTCTCTATATGACAGCAAGAAAGCGAAAATGGGGCCCTGTTTTACTGGAATAATCTAGTATTTATCCTTCCTAAGGGACAAGAGAATTAAGAAATGTAACACCACCACAGTACTGTCAAAAAATCTAAGGATGCCAATCATTGCCAAAGCTACATTTTAATTATTGCTCACTTATTAAATTAATGATGATAGCACTTAAAACAGTTTTCTTGCACCTTGCTGCTTGCCATCCACTCCTTTTCTGCTTAACTGTCATCACTTCTGAGTCTGTTCACTCTGGAGCACCAACAGTGTTAGTGGCATTGCCACTGTGGTTCCCCTGACCACAAATCTTCCCCAGCAAACCTCTAAAGCACCTGCAAACCTAGGCTAATACCCTCCTGTGTGGTTTTGGGGGGAGGTGGAGAGGAACCAAACAAAACCCAAACAGTGTATGAAAGTAAGTAAAGAGACAGTTACAAAAGAATTCCTCCGTGAAGCAGTTTTGGTTACACACTGAGCTCAAAATAGTCTGAGAATAAAACTATAGGGAGGAGAAGGAAAAAAACGAAAGGAAGACATTATTTCTCCCTAATATTTTCCCTCAATTTTTAATACCTTAACTATTGTATTATCCTAAATAGTAAGTGCACTAATCATTAGAAATGTCTCTGGTTAGGATTAGAAAAGAGCCCTCACAGGCTGAATTCCCTGAATCAGAACAAGTTAATTTCAGCTACTTAGACAGATATACGCCTCATTTCAGCAGCGTTTACTCTTTTAAAGCTTTAACTACAAACACGTTACACTATTGCTTTGCTTTCGCATTGGATAACTTAGTATACAAAAGCAAAGGCAGCACCGATAGAAATTGTTGTAAGACGACAGCAGAAGCAGAAACCGCTCTCTGACAGAGACAGCAACAAGGCTGCCACGGCGGCACGGGACGGCGCCTCGGGGCTGGGCTGGGCACGGCCGCTGTTCGCACCTCCCGCTACGGGACACGCCTCACCG